TATTGATTTAGAATCAATTATTTTCTAAAATAATCACTTTTATTTTTTTATAACCAATTACTTCTTCCCTTAATTTTTTCAGGTGAAACTTTATTTTTTAAATCTAAACCAACTACTAAGAAATGTAGATTTCCTGCCCAAACATTACTGTTAACCCAAGTGAAGTGAATTGGTCCATGTCAGTGCGCCCAATCAGCACCACCTCGTCAAGCTTTAACGGACGATTGAAGGGTTTAACGTTTGGTTGACATCAGTTTAAGTAGTAGGGCTGTTATGCGGATTTGGTGAAGTAAAGGGGCTGATTTGCCATGGTTTAAAGTACAGGAGCTGACTTGCCACAACATCACAAGTACAGGGGCTGAGTTGCAACTTCTACCTAAAAAGAATTTCATTAAAAATATTTCTACATATTCATAAATTTACAAATCTAACTGTACTGTAATTTTATTGTGCAAGCTTATCTAAAAAACATTAAAAAAAAAAATAAAAAAGAGTAAGACAAGAACAGGAGTGGGGCTTTTCTCCTTTTTTCTTTTTTTAAACAGCACTTGAAAGGAGGTGGGGCCTTTCACTCATTTTGGGTAAAATAAGTGGAGCCTTTCTCTCGAAACTATTTTCTGGTGTTTTTAAAGGGTATAGAATTATGTGACAGACTGTTCTCAATGTCTACTCATGGCAGCCTGCAGCACTACAGGGAAACGAAGGCCCATCCGACATTATCGATGCACCAAGTTGGAATTAACACGAGCAACTGGGCCATGGATGATGGACCATAGTCCACTTTTTACTAGTTATCTGTGAAGTGTTTCTCCCAACTAACTCCCAGGTATTTTCCTTTAATGAAGGGTAACATCACGACAAATTGGAAAGAAGCGCTACCGTGATTGGTGCGCCAACTTGAAAGACAGAAACAGCTAAGGCCATTGTCTTTCTACTCATTATAGCTGATGTTCTTCCACGCACAGAACTTCCCAAAAGAGAAACAATGTTCAAAATCCCAATGATTGCTTCTCCCTGTATCTCATTTATCTTCTTTCAAAATCCCCTAAATGAATATGGTCGCACCGCTGAATCCAACATATATACATAAAGTGATCTAATTAAGGAATTTATTTTTTACAATTTGTTCAGGAACTTCTATCATAAGGAAAAATACCGAATTTGGAAAATATGAAATAAGGAGAACCGATTATAAGACGGGGAGATTTCATTTGGAAAATATAAACCAGAACCAATTATAAGACAAGGGGAGATTTCAAGTAAACAAAGAAGAGAATCCTATGGAAACGATGGCAATAATCTAGTAAACGACAAAAAATCATATAGAAACCATGGCCAAATAATAAAACTCTCTCTCTCTCTTTTTTTTTTTTTTATATGTATTCGCCATTCTCATATTCTTTAGAGTTAAAATAATAATAATAATAATAACAATAATAAATAAAAAGGGAACACTACAGCACAGCCTTTAGGACCGCATGACATTTTCTCTAATTGTATAAATGCCGTTTGGGTAATGCAAGAGCCAAAATTGTTACTTTTAGTTTAAAAAATTCCGAGTTGTTGGGGATTGATATAGACACCTAATGTAGACTAATCCACACACATATGAAATTTCTCCAATAAACTGAAGATATATATATTTTTTATCAACAATAAATTGAGGAATATTAAAATTGTGCAAGGATATTGGGTGATATATTTTTTTTGATTTAATATATTATATAATATATTTATTAAA